GTAAATGGTGATATTTTTATTTCAGGATTCTTTGATGAATACTGCATGTTTGTTAAATAGAAATCTTTTGTAATATTGTAAATACCTTCACTGTTACTTTTGATCAATTTCATGCGTCCTTGCTTAATAAATGTATTAACTTCTTTCAAAAGAAAAAAAAATTATGCAGCTCAACGAAGCTTAAAATTATGGTCAGATTTATATAGCTAAAAATATTAGAAACCTGTGCAGAGATTTTTTTTGCATGTTTAACCCAATCCAGCTGAGATGAAAGCAGCAGAGTTTCATCTCTCAAATTTTGGAAAGAGTGTAATTCAAGTGTAATGAAACTAAGGGAATCCATCACTTTAGAAAGGTGCCACATACTTCATATTGCATTACATTTATGACCCAGCATAGTGCTGGATCTAAATATTGAATATACACATATAAATATTCAATACACAACGAATAGTTTCCCTTATTTCAAGGGAAAGACTGCATTTGTTTGAAGCAATATGTAGATAAATATGACTGATAAAAATATATAGCCTAAAAATATACATGTAACATGCCCATGAATATTAGATTATAGATTCATATTTATTTTAATGTAAAATAAGAAAGGAAATATTTTAGGCACTGTAACTTCTATGGTTTTCTGTATTTTTAAACACTGGTTTTAAATATTTGAATATATAAATTCAATATTTAAATAATGTTTTTTAATGTTTTTCACCTTTTTGCCATCACAAGTTCATTTAAATAGTCCTGCTGTGTGAATGTGATAAAAACATTTTTGATTTAAATTACTCCTATTTTAAGATTATATGATATAGACTATAGCATGACAGCCCAAAAGTGGACATCGACCATATGTAATAAAAAGTATATAAAAGCCCCTATAAAGCAGTATATTGTCCTGCATACTTAACTGTAATTATGTGAGAATTTGTTCAGAAATGTGAAATTTATTCAGGTCTAAAAAAATATTCCCCCCGGAGGACATTTTGTAGTCATTAAGGATGTCACCGTAGCAAATAACAGCATTCAGTTTCCAAATTTTAAAAGGTTTCTTTATAGAATAAGTCAACCAACTTCTGCTTCAGGATACGAGTAATTCAAAGATGATAAGAATCAAACATCTTTGTCACAACAAACATTGTTCATAAATAAGCAGCATATGACAGTAATCAGCATGCATTGTTGCGGCTAATTGTTTCGTTTTCTTTTTTCCAGCGGCAGTTGCATACGCATTTGTTTCACCCGTATTCCTTCGACTGGCATCAAGTTTCAGAGCGAGCCAGACGGCACGCCCCGGGATGTTTAACAGCGTTTAAATGCACTACACCAGACCTTTTGTTCAGTTTTAAGAGCCTGAAATGGCTGACAAGAACATGTCGAAGATGTATTTGCGAGTTTATAAGAGACGCAGGGAGAGAGACAGACAGTAGAGGACATTGTTGTGTAAAGCACACAAGTCGACAGAGAGACAGATGTTGATGGTGTGTACTAAAGAGGATGCAGTGGATGCCACATGAGTAGATGTAAAGAGGGGAAAAAAGATCTAAGAAAATGGAGGTGTGCGTGAAAGGAGAGTAATAGGGAACATGTAGGTAAAAAGTGGCCAGAGACAGGAAGGATAACAGAGAACAGAGTCTTTAATGGCATTGTAAAAGCCAGCCCGGAATAAATTACCTTCCATCCCGCAGGATTACTCATGTAATTATTTGAATGAGGGATTTCATTAGGATGTGCAGAGGTGTGGAAGAAGGAAGGCCGAAGTGATACAAGACTGAGGACAATTTTTACCTACATAAATTAAGTTTTAGGCATGTGCAGATAATTGATATGAAATTCAGAGTCCTTTGATTAGGACTAAAAAGTGAGAGTGTGATAATGTGGAATCGACTCATGTCAAATGCAGATAGAGAAAAAAAATAACAGAAATGAAAGGGAGATTGAAGAAGAATAAGGATATACCCCAGTGATGGGGATAAGTTCTAATTTAAGAGGCACAACGAGAGATTGATGGAGAAATGGGTTATATCTTGGTGATTGTGATGTGTTTGAATTTAATTTGTGTGAATGATCTTTGGAGAAACTCCAGAAAAAAAAAGTGTGCACATCCAACTTGTTAGGTACAGATAAAGGACACAATCCAGAAAAATGAAACAAGTATTGCTCTAAACTGAACACAGCAAACAGCAATGTTTTCAGCTCTAGAATATCGCCCCGTTTTATAAACCACAGTAAAATAAATTTAAGGACAACAATAATAATAATATTAATACGTCCTGGGACGTAACACCAGGAAAAACCCTAGTTATATAGCAACAGGTAATGAGATTATCAGATTAACATGATTTCAGGAAGTCACAAGATATCATATTTTCATTTTTTGCATACATAGTACAACCCCTAGTTTTTGGTTATTTTGTGTGCGCAATTTATCGGTAAATCACTGATATTAGAGATTTATCATTGTGAAGGGTCCTTTCTCAAATTTTGACATTTTTATTATGCAAGTGTCAGATATCATCAAAGGCAAAGTTATTCTTTAATTTAATAAGACTGGTTTTTAGCAAATCTTAAATTATACAGTATATTTTTCATAATCTATAGAACAAATATGCGATTCACTTATCTTTTAAAATAGATTTTTCTTTTAAGTGTTTTAATTTAAAGGGGGGGGGGGTACAATGCTGTTTCATGCATTCAGAGTTGTTTACACTGTTAAAGAGTTGGATTCTCATGCTAAGCATGGACAAAATTTCAAAAAACAATTTGGACATATGACGGAGTATTTCTGTGCTAAAAATCTTACTTCCGGGTTCGTACAAGTTTTGGACAGTTCTTTTCGATCGTGGCTCTTCATGACGTAGACGAGGGTGGAACTCCTTATATGGGCATTTCTCCCGGAAGAGCACGCCCGCGCACACATCGACCAGAGCAAGAGCGAGAGCGCGCCTATCAACGCGCTTCATCCGGCGGCAGCGCTGCACGGGACTTGCTCAGGAAGAATGTCTCTAAAGAAGTGTGTTTTTGGTTGTAAGGGAAAAATAACTTTGTTCAGCTTCCTAAAAAACCCAGCGTTATGTAAACAGTGGATACAGTTTGTTTTTCCGGAGCAGCAACACAGTTTCACAAGCGTGTTTGTTGACGAACGTTTTATAAACTAGGCCCAGTTCGACGCTGTATTTGCACATCGTTTGATACTGAAGGATGGAGCGGTCCTAGCTATAAAAGATCGCGGTCATGATTCAGAACTGTAGACGGTAAGTGAAACTGCATCAAATGTCTGTGTTTTGTTGGCAGTCGGAGCTCAAGTGCTCGTCAATCTTTAGCTCCACCCACGGCGCGCCTCCAGGAGCTAGGCTTTTTCTGGAATCGTAAAGCTGTATCTTTCTTTTATAAATATGATAAAACTAAAGACTTTTTGGAGATATGAAGGATGCAGTACTACTCTATAGGAACTCAAGGTTAACATGAGATTGGGTGAAACTGTGTGTGTTATGTCCCCTTTAAAAATATATAAATACAAAATATTACAGAATTTCAATATTAGGCATTTATAAGTTATTGGCCATGACAATAAAAATTATTATCAGCTTACTAATAATTACCAAACACTATGAAAAAAAAATGAGCATTTGGTCAAAATTTTAATATCAGTGTTCTCCTAATGTTCTCAGAATATATCAAACAATATGTGGATTTTTACTGGTATAAAATAAACTCTTGTAAAATAACCCCATTTTATTTATTTGTTTATAAATCATGTAACTTCCTGTGGGCAGATAATCTGATAATGTCATTACTTGTCTCTATGGGTTTATTTCACATTGAAGACAGAGTTTGAAACGCTGAGATTGTTTAATACAATTTTGAAACTTTAATATTAGTGTGTAGATATCTACTCTTTAAATTATATTTTCCAGAACAAAAAGAAGAAGTTTTGACAGAGAATTCATCTCTGCTAGAATTTATTCAACACCATAACTCTTTAGAAGGCATAAAATTAAGTGACGAAAAACAAAAGAATCTCCCAAATTGCATCTTTTTCTTTGAAATTTCACAACACAATGAATTAACAACGCACAGAATTTGGAAATTCAGAACAGCATGCTGGGAAAAAAATAACTGAAGCACAGCAGTAAACCTGACGACAGCGTCTTCAAAGAATAGGCCTCATACGGGCAAGAATGAATGAAAAGAAAAAGAGATTGCGAAGCACCTCTGACCGAATGCAAACAAGTGTACAAACAGCAAGAAAAACCCTTAAAAAATAAATAAAAAAAGATGAGCCAGAAATCTGTCTCCCAGCCATCAACTCATCCTTCCTAGTTGGCGTTTCCAATATTTTTCTTTTTATCTCTTCGATCTCTCGGTGCTCTGATTCGTTCTTTTCCTCAGGCTATGAAAGAGTAGCAATTGATTGCGTTCGTACACACAGGAGTCCACAGATGCACGCACACACACGCAGAGCTATAATTCGTTCGATTTGTTCATTTTTATTCATCCATTTATATGGAGGAGATGAAAACCCTCTTCACATCTAACAGAACCGTCATATTAGGTCTAATGCCACACACAGTAAATGCTGAAGATCTGTAAAACACATGGAATAAATTATCGCCAGGAGGAATGTTAATAAATTATAGTGGGGAGCATGTGGATCAAAGTACAACATATTCTTGTTATGCAAAAGCGCACTTTGCGTGCATGACGAGTCTTTGATATTCGGAGGAGGGACGTTAACGGCTGCGCTTAAGAAGAACTTTTAAATATTTGACCTTAAACACTTCAAACTACTGTAAAAGTCCACACTGCTTTAGTAAGGGACCGTTTGCTTGAAACACACTCACAGTTTTACACGTTTACAGTAAATCGAACAACAAAGGCGGCATGAAAATATGGAGAACACAGGAAAATATTCAGACAATTTTTTTGTTTCTTTTTCACCATCAATATTTTAAATGTTACATTCCTGTTTAGGGCCGTTTCATCTCCCAGTGAAACCCAACATGGCCCCAAGTTCAAAAGAGCAACATATAACAGCAGAGCAGATAGGAAAAAGTAGGATGAGAGACTGAGACACAGAGAAAGAGAGAGAGAGAGAGAGAGAGAGAGAGAGAAAGTTAGAAATGGTAAAGACCCTGAACAAACTTGTTTGCACCATAGCGCAGTGTTTCCTCTGGGCATATCCTGTAACTTTCAAGAGTGGATCCAGAGCAAAAGAAAAAAGTTTTTTTCCAAGTCAGATGTCCATTGAGGCTACAAGGTTACAAAGTTCCTTAAATAAGTGCCAGCCAATGAGAAGAAAGCTTGGCTTCCCATCATCTCGAGCACCGATTGGCTTCCATGACTTTAAGTACACGCGATTGTCATGCCGATTCAAGTGCAACGCAAGAGTCAAATTCAGAAAACAGTACAAACATCCATGTCAGGGAGGCGAGCGCCACTATCTTGTGTCTGAGCGTGGCATACGTCACAAAAATGAATGGAAATATCCTTGCGAATATCCAAATTAGCATCTCTCGTCCACTCTATATACACTACGCAGCATCCGTACACGCTCAAAATGGGACCCTGATTGAAAGAAGGGGGTGGGGGGCGGATCCCAGTTCAATCATGAGCTCCTGGGATTGGGCAAGTCGAAAACGATGGGCAGGTTCATAGGCTGGAAGTTCACCGTGCACGCCGAGGCATTAATGAACGTGGTGGTTCCATCTTTCATCATACCGTAACCTAGCTCACACAAACACAAAGATATTCCGATTCATTAAGTTGAAGAATGTCATGCATGTTTTGTTTTTGTGAAAATACGTTAACACGCATTTAAAAGGAGAACACTGATACAAAATGATACTAAAGGAATGATTCACCCAAACATGAACATTTCCTAAACATGTACTCACCCTCAGGCGATCCAAGATATATGATTTTGTTTCTTTATCGGAACAGAATTTAGCATTACATCACTTGCTCACCAATTGTTTACTTGTGGATTGTTGTGATGTTTTTAGCAGCTGTTTGGACTCTCCTTCTGACGGCACCCATTCACTGCAGAGGATCCATTGGTGAGCAAGTTATGTAACGCTAAATTTCACCCAAACTGTTCTGAGCAAGAAGCAAACTCACCTACATCTTGAATGGCCTTTAAAGGGATAACCATAAGCCTTGGTCAGCTCCAAGGTCAGCTCCAAGGACAACAGTTTCACCTAAAAAAAAGTCACCTACATCTTGGATGGCCTGAGGGTGAGTAAATTAACAGCAAATTTTTACTATCCCTTAAAGCAAATTTTCAATTTGGGTGAACCATTCCTTTAATAAGGTCAAAAATTAGGTTTAAAGTGTTAAAAGCTAAATGGTAAATACAAATAATCATGCAGTGTGTATGATTAAAGTGTATAAATTGCAAACAGCAAAAAATGACACATAACAGCTAGCAAACGAGTGGAGCTATTTTTGCACATTTCTGTGCCATAACAAACATGGCACTGAGTCAAACATAGACATGCAAAGCACAAAACACAAGCGTACACACATGTAAAATGAAATCATATTGCCGACAAAGATGAGGATCCTTTACTAAAAGCATTTTGAGTGTGTGTGCTAAATTTACTGTGAATATGAATGTGATCTAATTTTTGCTATGGAGCTGTCAGAAGGCAAAGCAGCATGGGACAGACTCTGCTCTGCTAACCCCAAAACAGGCAGATTGACGTGGCAGCATGAACAAATATGTTTGAGATCACAGGGCTGTATGGATTTCATGCATGTGATGTATAGACAATTGCGACTCTTATCATCTCATGTGATTACCTTCATGAATGTGCCCAAATACATGTAGTTTGGGCTGAACTCTCCTCTGGACAGTGTTCAACAGTTCCATACAGCCAACACGCTGCATCTTCCTGGGCACCCAGTCCAAAAAACCTACAAAAAGGTAGTATAATGACTAATATGAACATCAAAAGGCAAAGAAAAAGACAGAAATATATGATGTTAGAACAGACAATTTGGTTCATTTACGCTTTTGGAGTTACAAGCTGAACAAATGCCAGATGTACCAAGTTAGGGAAGAGAATCAGAATGAATTTAAAGACTGTAGTTCTGATTCCACAGTGTTTCATATTCTTAATGACGTTTTGGCAATTTTAAGGAAGAAGTAATAGATTTTTTTTTTGCGCATCCGAGGTGCTAATTTAAGAACTCAACAAGGGTGAAGTCTTGACTCACGGAATTTTAATTAGATGTGACTGGACGCTCTAGGAAGGTTACCAAGCAACTTATGCGTTAACTAATTAATATTCATGAGCTAAGCCTTAGCCATAGTAGGATTAGTAATTCACATCCTGAATTTTGATTTTCCTTTCACAATTAATTGCGTGAGTCCAAAAATGTTTACACATCCAAAACCAATAACATCATGAAGTTTGAGTCCAGATTTCAAACCAGTTCTTGATTTCCAAACCTACACTAAGTATAGAGCGAGTACATGATTTCAAGTTAAAGGTGGGGTAAGCGATTTTTCAAAAAGGGGTTAGAAAACTGATTCGGGCCGAGTAGCAAAACAAACTTGTAGCCAATCAGCAGTAAGGGGCATGTCTACTCATGATGTGGAGGAGAGAGCGTTCAGTGCACAGCACAGAACGGACATTAGCCGAGCCGAGTGACAGAAAGATAAAGAAAAACTAAAGAGGAAAACAACAACAAAAGAAGCTTAAGGCAATAAGGCAAGAAGTAGGACCCGTGTAAATATCGGATCAGCTTTCCAGCGCTGGAGAGAATTCAAGGAGCGGAGGCCTGCGATCGGACGCCAAGGTTGCTTTGTTTTTTCTTGATAGGTGAGTGACTGTGCCGCCTGCAAAAGCTAAAGTCTGTCTAGTACACAGGACGCGACAAAGCGACCGTTGAAAATCATTTGAAATTTGTGTCAATACGTCATAAATAGAACGCAGCAGCAGTTTTCTGTCGGGGATTTGTCGTGTCGTGCCGCGCCGCATTCAATGTAGACCATAGATATGTATATATATCTATGGCGTAGACAGCATCACTGATTATAATGAGTTCTATAGTATTTTGTCGCGCCGCTCCACTCGCGTCCGGTGTAGACACGGTGTAACATTGGTTTTGCTTTGTTTCACAGAACTAATGGTTGCCTGGGTTGCGTACGTATGTGTGGGGCAGAGCTATCAAAATAGGGGCGAGACCCTTTTGAGGTAGGGGCGTGTTTGTTTTGGTGATTTCAAATGTCAACATTGGCTACCAGAAATCGCTTACCCCACCTTTAATGATCTCAGTACACAGGACATATTCTTACATATCGCTGTGAATCTTCAGAGATATCATTTGGGGCTAATTTGCAACACTATGATAAACACCCACATTTGCACAAATGTATAGTGAGACACGTCTTTACCATGAGAATTACACATTGTCACAATCTCAAAGCCCAAAAGCTTAGTGTTTTAAACCACAGCTGTCTTTATGCACAAACTTCCGTTCTCGGTACATATGACTGTGTGTGTGAAGGTTTTATTATGTGCGAAGGGATTTGCTGCACTGCGAACAGCGTCTCAGTGTTGCATGCTTTAGCAGCCTGCTGTAGAAACTCCATCTGCCAAAGCCTCAGAGCAAAAGAGTGTGTGTGCGCGAGGATGAAGACAACATAATGGGGAATAAACATTACCGCATGCTTTGTGTGTGTGCATTTGTGTGTGATTTAGGTCTTACCCAGAGGAGGGCAGTGTGTGAGAAGAATATCTGTGGAATCTGGAATCTGATTCCACTTGTCCAGCAGTGCTTGTCCTCGTTGAAGATTAAAACCCCAGCCGTAGTACCATGGCTGCCTGAAAACATACATAAAGAAGGAAAAAACTGAGTTAAGGCCTACTGATGTGACCGTGAACATTACTGCCAATTTCTTCCCATGTGCTTCACTGATCTTTTACCCAGACTGCTCTACCGCTGATGAAAACAAGATGACATTTCCATTAGGATCTGTATATGGAGAATCTGTGAAAGATCTTGGGTCTATGATGATGATAAAATAACAGAAACCCCCCCCCCAAATCACAAATAGCAATAACTTTGTTCTGGCACCTTTCTCACATCTTTTACTAAATGTAAGCGGAAAAAATAATTGAAATAGGAGTGAAAAATTCACCGGTTACAGGCCAACTTAGATTGAGTCCTCATCTTTTTCTTTCCCCCACTGTCATCTCTCTACCATCACACTCTAAAAAAGGAGGAGAGTAGGGATGATTTGAAAAGCTTGGTTCATGAATATTAATTAGGTGATGTAACGTTTGTCCAGTAGTCCAAACTGTGCGTAAATGCTGGTAAATGGGCGCAAGACATAGAAGGATTACCATTTGTGCATTTCTTCAGCACACAGCAAATAGAATCTTTGTCAGAGGTTTCTACTTGGTCTTAACGTCATATAAACAAAAAATAAAATAAAAAAAAATTTGTTTTAGTTTATTAATTAGTATGAACATCTTAAAATATAATAATATAAAATAATAAATTCATTAAAATAAATATTGTAGAATGATTTTATATATATAAATATATTTTATATTGTTAGAATGGTAACACTTTAGATCAGGGAACACTATTCACTATTAACTAGTTGCTTATTAGCATGCATACTACTTGCATATTGGAAGTTTATTAGTACTTATAAAGCAAATATTAATGCATGACCATATTCTAGAACCCCTTACCCAACCCAATACCTAAACATAACTACTATAACAACTACCTTACTTACAATCAATAAGCAGCAAAATAGGATTTATTAAGGGGGAAAATTCTTAGTTAATAGTGAATATGTGTTCCCTGATCTAAAGTGTAACTGTTACATTTTATAATTTTTTTTATTAAATATATATATATATACAGTGGGTATGGAAAGTATTCAGACCCCCTTAAATTTGTCACTCTTTGTTATATTGCAGCCATTTGCTAAAATCATTTAAGTTAATTTTTGAGGAAAAAAAATTAACTTAAATGATTTTAGCAAATGGCTGCAATATAACAAAGAGTGAAAAATTTAAGGGGGTCTGAATACTTTCCGTACCCACTGTATATAGAGGAAGATGGATATAAAAAAGAGAAGTGGAGGAGGAACAGAAAAACAAGAAGAAAGAGAAAGAAACAGGTAGAGACAGACAGTATGTAAGGATAGAGAGGGGGGTTGATGGTTTTGCCTATGCCCCATCACTTTGATTGCAGATGCACCAAGCTTGAGTGACGGTATAGAAATTAACATGTCACTAACAATCTGTCCCCAGATCCATCTTCCTCTGCACATTTATGTGTGCGAGTATGTTGAAAGACTCTTGTGTGTGTGTTTGTGTCAGTTTACACATGAAGGTTCCCTTGCCTCTACGTGGATTTTGTAATTTATAGAGAGCAGTCACTTGAAACGTTTACTTTTATAGCTGGCTGACGCATCAGTGTCCCGTGCTGCAAGCAAACACATTATTAGACTTAGACACACACACACACACACACACACACACATAGAGCCTTTGAGGAGCGATCCAGATCGGCCCTGGGTTCATCATCTCAAGAAGGTCAAGAGGAAAGAAGGGCAAATGCTATTTTCATTTGATTTCATCTGATTAATATTCAAATCACTCCTATCATCAGAGTCTAAACATTTATGATCAAACATCTGCAGGCCAACTGACGCAGTCTGATTAATTCACATATCAAATCTTAAAACATTTAAAATGGCCTTTACATATTGATTGTGCTATTTAAATATTCATTTTCATCTTTACACGGACGTCTCAATTACACTGGATCGAGAAAGGACTCATTATTGGTGTCCCAAACAGATTTTTCTAACCGAGCAGAGAGAGGTTAATAAAAAGAAAGAAAATGAGAGAGGGAGGGTTGTGTGTGAACACAGACAGAAAGAGAGATGCTGTGAAAACAGCATTAAAATGTCTTAAAAATACAAGCAATTATGTAATTCAGAAATTCTGATTTAGTTTAATGGAGATTTTATTAAGCCAAAAGATCAGAAGAACATGTGCAATTCCTTCAAATGGCACAAGGAACGACTAGCATACTTGATGTACTAAACCATCTGTGTATTTATCAGTTCAGATGTTTTTTCATTTGTCAAGGTGAATAGAAAGCAAAGACAGCTGTTTGTTGTCATGCCTTTACTCCCATGATGCCACATCAGCGCAAAAGCAGAAGAAATACTTTGCACACTACATTTTTCAATTTCTGAAGCAAATGTAAAGGGTATTTGCCCACACAAAACTCATCACCACAGTGCTAAGGTGTTCAGAGTGGTTGCTAGTGTATTGCTAGGGTGTTGCAAATTAAAAAAAAAAACATTTTATTCTTTTTTTATTTATTAGGAACCACTAATAAAAAGCAAACCTAATCGGATGTCTGTTTGTCACCACTGGCTTTAAAACAGTCTTGGGGTGAAGTAGGGTTTGGGTCGAATCAGTGAGCGTGTGCAAGTGCAAAACCTCTCTTGGCCAAATGATATCAGTGCAGTTTTGCCATAAATCTTTAAATGCATGGCTGGGGGGAAAAGGCTGTGGGGCGACTGTGCTTCAATATTTCATCCCATTGGTTAACTTCAAGGATTTTAAAGGAAGAGACATTTTATTCTTTTTTTATTTATTAGGAACCACTAATAAAAAGCAAACCTAATCAGATGTCTGTTTGTCACCACTGGCTTTAAAACAGTCTTGGGGTGAAGTAGGGTTTGGGTCGAATCAGTGAGCGTGTGCAAGTGCAAAACCTCTCTTGGCCAAATGATATCAGTGCAGTTTTGCCATAAATCTTTAAATGCATGGCTGGGGGGAAAAGGCTGTGGGGCGACTGTGCTTCAATATTTCATCCCATTGGTTAACTTCAAGGATTTTAAAGGAAGAGAAGATGGGAGTTATTAGAAAATCTTTCTTTTAAAAAATTTTTTTTTTTTTAAAGAATGCATTAATGATTGACAGAAATGTGAAATCTAATTCAATTCTTGCTGCTGGTAAGGTGGTGAACTTTGAATGGAAAGATAAAATGTGTATGAAAATTGGGAAGAAATAAATAGAGAAAATGGAATAGAAAATATTAAAAGTGACATTCACAGATCAGTAAAGTTTGTGCTAACAGACCTGTTTCTAGCAACTGTTTGGTTACCAACATTCTTCAAAACATATTTTATGTTCCACAGAAGAAAGAAAACGTGAAGGTGAGTAAATGACAACATCATTTTCACTTTTGGGTGAAGTATCTCTTTAAGTTGCCCACTCTGTGAAACAGTTTTCACAATGCCTTAAAATACTGCCTTCATAAGCAGCTCACTATATTTTAGAGCATAGCAATGCATACCAACACATATACACACACAAACACACACAAGCTATCTGCAAATGGAGAGAGCTTTTGTTCAACATCCTCACCTGGCTGCTGTAATTACAGATGTTGGTGGTATCTTGACCCCAATTACAGAGGAGGTCTACACATTATTCTGTGTGTGCGCACATTAAAGAGAGTGTATGTGCATGGCACAGAAGCAGGTACGTAAGTTTCTGACACTGACCCAGATGTGTGCATGGAGAAGAGGTTGGGAATCTACAGGGATAAGCCGTTACATCTCTGAAGAGTTAAGAGGCAACATCAGACAGCAGCTTTACCGTGCACACACACACATAACCTTATTAAGAGAGTTTCAATTAATAGCTTGCGGGTCACAACAGCCCACTGAGGTTTACCAGCACATAAGAAGTGCTATCAACATCACACAAGCGCTCACTTACACTCTTGTACTATGAATTAACTATAATAAAACTTTTCATGACATGAAAACATTTCTGAAAGAAATGGCTTGTTAAACAAGTAAAAGTAAATAAAATCGAGACAAAAACACATTAATTGGTAATATCTCAAATTACTATATCATTGAGAATAAAAAACAAATAAATATAAATTCACACAAAAAAACAATGTAGGTTGGGACTTGATTTTATCCTTTGGTTGTTAAGTAAAATAAAATAAAATACTAAAAGTATTACCAATGAATGTGTTTATTTAATTTATTTTATTTTATCTTAGAGAATGAAAAAAGAAATATACATTTAATGTAGGTCAGTTGTTGAATAAAACAAAACAAAATAAAATAAATATATCAAATGATTATATCATGGAGAATCAAAAATAAGTCAATCAAATTTTATAATATATATGAATGTATGAACTGCTGACAGTAAGACAAGTCACATGCATTTGAAAATAAACAGTGAATTTTAAATTTCATGCCGACTTTAAAGATTCTGCTTTAACAAGAGGGTTGGGGGTTGGGGTGTTATGGATTCTCATGCTAAACATGGCCAAAGTTTCAAAAAACGAGTTGGACGTATGACGGAGCATTTTTGTGCCAAATACACTCCTTCAGGGAAAGATTAACATGAGATTGCTAGAAACTGTGTGTGTGTTATGTCCCCTTTAAAGCACAGTACGCTGTCAGCACGTACACATATCAATAAAAAAACACAAGGAAATATCTGAAACTAGTTAACCTCACTAATCAACTATCAACTAAACTACTACTTTATCATCGTGACCCATTCTTAAGTTTTAAGCCAGTGTTGTATAGATAGTGCTGTTTTATAGTTGTATAATCAAGTAGTCTTGCATATTTAGCATGGTGTAGCTTTATTTTTCAGGCCGTTGTATATTTAGCACAGTGTGCTGCATCATATTGTGCTGAACTGCAGGGCCGGCTGGACTTGATGTTTAATCTGAGAGAAGCAAGCGGTCCATTCACACAGGGCTCCAGTCCGAGCAGCACAGCACGAGAGACACACACTGCACA